TATTGCATTTCTACCTGTGGTCATACTTTCCCTTTCTGTACTCCTCTGAGGAACTCCCACACCATAACATTTCACACGTAAAAATCTCCAGTTAACTGCCAGCCGCTCTAAGTGGGGAAGAGCTTAAAGCACCGCCCAGTTTCACAGCCTATATATCTTAAATGTGTATTAAGAGCAGAATTCTGGCTTTTTTTGGTCATTTGGGATCCTATGACTGGTCTTCAAACCGATTAGAAATGAGAGGGAGTGAGGGAAAGACAAACACAGACCTGTTGTAAAAGCCCTAACCATGTGGGAAGTGTCGGATTGAATTTGTATCTCACCAGGTACTTGCAAATCCACCTCTGAGAAAAATCTTGGTTGAGGAACTGATCCCACAGGGTCTAGCAAAGCATAAGCTATGATGATAGCACTTCTGGTGGGTAGATGATGTAGAACAGCTTCTCCCCCTGTGGATTCTTAGATGTCCAACAAGACTTGAGCTCATGCTATAGTTTTTCCTGAAATTATAATATTAAGAACGCATCTTCCTCTAATCATACACTTTCTTGCACAAGCGTAACGAAAATTCATTTCTTAATGCCTCTTCCCCTCTGTCAAATTTGACTGAAATTAGTAAACTGAAACACAGATATGGAGGATGAGTGCGTAAGCCTGGCTTCATTTGAAAACTAGTGAAAAACAACCCCCAAAGTCCCTCTCTTCATTTCCCAAGAACAGGCAGCTCAAAAGGCAGTTTGCTTGTGCAGGCTGGTTACGCTGAATGCTTCTATACCAAGTACATGCTGTACTAAACTTGAATAGACATGATATTTCACATGGTTAAATCTGAGCTCCAAACCTTACCTATTGCACTGTTTGTGTGTGTGTGGGTATACATATATTGACTGAAACCACGTATATTGTTCTAGTCTCCCAATGCAGAAATACATGAAGGAACATTGTCTGGACTTCTGAGGCAAAACCAAGCCAGCTGGAAGGTGAAGACAAGTGTGGAAAGCTGCAGCTTCATTAAGTGAATGTTTTAGAGTGAGAAAGACTGGAATTTGTAACGTAAAATGTATCGTACTGTTCGACAACAGTGGCCACATTTAAGTTGCAATTGCTATGTACGAACTATTCCCAGTGAGTAAGGGACAACACATGTTATATCCTTACTAAAGATAAACCAGACACCATTATTCCACAAAAATAATCTATTATATTTATTTGAACTTATTTTATAGGAAGTCCAACATCTATGAATTATCAGTCTGTATTGCATTCAGTGGCACGTTATAACTTGTGTGCTTATTTAATTAAGTAGATATTAAGCATTAAAGACCTGGCTTCTGGATACATTCTTCTCCAGAACAGTTCAGAGAGCACATCAGAGCCCTAGTGCTTGGCGTGCCATTTTCTCTCTTTGTTGCAACTGTACCAAGCTTAGCTGCTAAGGAGAATGAAACATCTGAAGTATTTACTGTAGCTTTAACTGCCATTCTAACACAAATCAGCATTAAGAGAAAAAGAAGCGAGTTCTGAGTAGTAAGTGATCACTCCATTTGAGTTACACAATTTCAAAGAGAACTTATTATCTCCCTACTAGGACCAGATGCAACTTGATTTAGAGGTCTCTTTCCTTTAACGTCCTTCACTTGACTGAAGAGAAGTCTGAATTACAAGTCTATGGTCTCAAATAGTAACTGAAAACACAGTAGCCTATGAATATTAGGTATTCTCAAAATCAAAATGCAGTAACGGACCACAATACAGTGAGCTACACAGTTGGAACTGTGGCTGCTCTGTGATTCTTTGTTACATGTCCTTTGATTTGACCTTTTAGCAAGTGAACTTGCGGTTGAAGTTTTAAATACCTTAAATATGGTAACAAAACACCTCCAAAGGGAAATGGTGAGTAAAAAACCCAGGATGATACAAGATGAAAATCAATAGGAATTGTAGATACAACTGAGTTAATTTGCTAAGGTAAATACAGAGAAACTATTTAAATACAATATGGACACGTTTCTTCTGTGTGCAGTGTGCAGTTATGTTGAAGGTTAACTCAGGAATTTAGAATTGTTTGATTATTTAGTGGAACATCTATTAAGTTAACAAGTTAGAATGGTTTGATTATTTAATGGAACTTATATTAAATCAACGAGTTAGGGATATTTATGAGTCCAGGATGTTCTGAAGGCCAGAACATTCAAAAGATCTTGGAGAAATATATAAATCATTCAGCCTCTGCAAGTGCTCCACAAGGTACGGCCCTGAGAGGAGGAGCAGGATGGCAGCATGAATCAGCTACGCAAGAAAGTAACAAGATAAAGCACCAAGGAAATGAAACCCTTGATAAGGCCAAAGGGAGAACTACTTGAACTTCGAGTAAACTGTCCTAATTAACATGGTAGAAATCACGCCCCCAAGTCAAAAGACCTGGGCCCAGGTGAAGACCCTTCCTCCCAGAACATGCGCAGTACAAACAAAGGACACTGTACCTTTAAATGGATGCAGTGCTTGCGAGAACCAATTTGAAACGGATATGCTTAAGTGTAGTTGAGAAATAACTGATAACTGTTTCTCTGAGTGTATAAAATGCTGCTGTGTGTTAACTGAGGTGTGCTAGCTTAGGGGAATTACCACCTAGCACCCACCTCTCCGCAGAAATGAAATAAATGAGCAACGTCTCTCCTGAGTGTGTGACAACTTACTGCATACCAGGCCATGAATCTGCTTTTCAGGCAACAGTTACATAACTGGATTTTTACTGGATTTCAGATAGCAATGGAAATATATTGTTAATATTTGGGAGTTAGTTCTCTCTTACTATATTTTCTAAGCATATAATCAGCTTGGAGCTTGAGAAAGTTTGCAAAAAACCTAGGTTGGCCCTGTTAACTTTTGCACACAACTACTAGTTATTTGGCAGTTGTATCCATAGGGATAGGTTCTCACTGTGTGTTATGGCAAAAAGAAATTTTTCTTTATTTGCTTACAAATCACATGCGAACTAGACATGGAAACTTTTTTTTCTGATATGGCTGCATCTTAGAACCATTTTCCACATCTACAGATATTTTTCACAATGATGCTGAGACAACAGCAATAATTAGAATCTAATTTTTTCACCTTTCCGTTGTTTACGCATGCATTTTGGTGAGCAACTCTATGTCAGACATAAGCAATTCCTTTTAATAGGAGAGTTTCTGCAAGTTTTGCGAAATGGCTGTATGAGGGTGAAGCACCTTGTCTGCATTTACCCATGCTATTTTAATGGATTAATAGTTTGCTCTAAAAAATGCATAAAAATCTGAGGCAGGAAAAACCCCTGTATTTCACAGGCAGGCAACAGGGAAGCAAATTAAAAGCTATGATGCCTGCATTCACATATATATTAGGTAGAACTAAACAGACTACTGCTGGCCCACACAAGCTAGCGAGTGGGTCTGCTCAAAGGGACAAGCAGTCATGTCAAAGTAGGCCAGAAAACACCAGATACCCTCAGGCTAGGTTTTTTTTTTTGCCTTTGCCCCCCTTTTTAACCAAAGCAGACCTGTCCATCTTCAGACTCGGAGCACATACCGCGTACCATCATCCCTGGGAAAGCACCTGTCTCAGTGCTGCAATCCGGGATGTGCAGCCGCAGGAGAAACCAGTGCCCACAGCTCAGGCTTCCACCTTGGACCGAAGTTGCTGCCTGAGCCCGGGCTGACCAGAAAGGCTCCGAGACCACTGTGAAATAAAATGGGAGCATTGCGAGTTGGAAGCGTAGCTCAAGATGAGATATTCTTGAGCCTACAGGAAAAGCAATCGAATCAAACCCACTTTCAGTAAACACTTACTTGTAACTAAAAAAAAAGCTTTCCAGGGCAGGTCTCTACCTTACAGAGTAGCCGAGTTTACGCGGGTCAGCCTCACGTCAGAGGACGTGGACGCCAAAGCCGTGCCGGAGGGACCCCCTCCGGGCAAAGCCGGGGCGCCGGGGGCGGCGGGCCCCGGGGGGCCCCACG